GTAGTTATTACATTATGAATAAAGTCAGTTATTTTTTTTTAAAAGTGCTTCCACCATGAATTTGAAGTAGGATGGCTAACAATAACCTCCATCGAATGTCTGACCAGCAGAGCGTAAGTTGACTTAGAAGAGAACTGTCCATCACGCGTGAACTTCCAGTAAACAAAATCGTCCATTGGTTGCAAAGGGCGTTCCGCCGACAGAATACGAAACGATGTAGGATCATCAATATACTTATGAACCAACGAAGGTTCCCACGCGTAAGAATGCGGATTAAGGATAGAAGAAACATGAGTTGGGATTTCCGACTGTAACACCCCCAAATCTCCCTCTACGTAAATACTATATTTATAGTATAAAATACCGTAGAAATAGACTTGGGCGTATTACCGCCCCGTGAAAATGTAAGGCTTTTTAACTACTAATTGGGGTCTACCTATTCTTCCGAAGTTAAAGATCTTTTGCTGGAAAATTCTTCATAACGCTCTACCTCTTTCAGCCACTCTTTGCATGCGTGGTATTCCGGTTAATCCGGTTTGTGTCTTCTGTCGAATATATTCTGAGATGGCGTCTCACCTTTTTCGAGATTGTGCCTTTATTCGCAATCTTTTTACCTGCAAGTTTCCGGCTTGGGGAAGTGCTTCCTTTTACGGAAGGTCTTTTGAGTTGTGGTTTACTGATGTGGTTTCTAAGTTCAGACTTCTTAAGAATTGGAAGGGTTTACGTTCTTTCCTGTGTCTTTTATGGGCTATTTGGTTGACTCGTAATCACATTATTTTTAGATAGGCCTTGTATTCTCCTACTACAATTTTTTAATCTTGTAGATGAGTGGATCTCTCGTGGTGATCAAGCTGGGTTGTTTTCTCTTCAGTATTCCTCTAGGCAACAGGTTCGGGCTTCACGCGTCGTGTTTCCTTCAGTCAGTTGTCTTCGTGGTGTTCTAGGCGATTCTTTGGATGTATGTCTTGTTTTGGACGGTGCTTGGAATGTTCATGACAATTCTGCGGGTGCGGGATGGATTTTCCGTAGGATTGATTCAGTTGAGGTATTTGGTGGCGGTTCCAAAGCTTGTAGGACAATGTCTGCTCTCCAAGCAGAACTTCGGGATTGCTTATGGGGTCTTCAAGCAGCTATCTGTAGCGGGTTTTGTCGCCTTCTGATATTTACAGACTGTGCTACCTTGGTGTCTTTCCTTCGTCGTGATTGTTTGGAGGATATTTCTTGCTTGTGGTTGATGAGCGACATTAGGCATACTCTTTTAGGTGTTTCTGCATGCAGGGTTACTATAGTCCTTCGTGGTTGGGTGACTTCAGCGCACTGGTTGGCTAGGAAAGCTAGACAGCACGACCTTTTGTTTTGGTCCTTTTGAATTGTTGTTGTTATTTTTTTTATTAGTCACTCTTGTCAAAAAAATAAATAAATAAATAAATAAAATAAATAAATAATAAATAAATTATATTGAAACGATATTGTAGCAATTGAGCAACATCATAATTCTTTAAAGGCTCCCAAAGTGAATGTGTTGTACATTATTGGAAACTAAGAAGAAAGAATAACCACGTTACAAATTATCATTATCAGGTCAGACTTAATAAGGCAACCAAAATCATGCAGCAAAAAATAAAAAGAATTGGCATGTAAAGAGATACGAAGTATTTCTAAAGTTTGCCGAGGCAAAAGAAAACAAGCAACAAAAAAAATGCAGTGATTTATGAACATATATAGCTAGAGCCATTTAGAGGCATGTGTATAGCAATTATGCACATCGCTTGTTCCACGGTGCTACCCTCCATATGTACAAAGGGTACTTCCTACTTGTACTTAGCTCAACAAAGCGAGATTTCGTTTTATAGATATACATTACTTTTTATTTTCTTTTATATTAGCTAGTTTAGTATTATACTAAGTATCATTTAAGATATGAGATTAAATTTCATTTACATCCTTATTTGTCATTTGTAACGCTTTGTAAATAAATAAATATAATGAAGTACCACAGACAAATGATCAAAAGAAATTTGATTCCAAGTGTTACAATTGTCTTTTGTACAATTAATAAGCTATGCTGTTACACTCTTAACAATCCTGTTATTAAAATCTAAAGATCTCATATTTTTATAGCATCATGTTTATCTCATTTCGGTTATTAATAAGGAAAATGAAATATTAGTTTCCTCAACTAATGCCGGTTTGTTAATCACAGATTCACAATAGAATTCTAAGCACATATGTAGCCTAATCATATTTGAGTCATACTTCTTGATTGGTCCCGATATGTGTTATCAATTTCCATTATTTTTTAAAAAGTCCCTAAAAGCAAATTTTATTTACTTAATAGGACTTATAGGAAAATTCTCAACGGTAACCCCCAACTTCTGCTACGCACCAATGGTGACCTCCTTTTTTTTTATTATACAAAATGATCTTAATTAAAAATTTCATCCCACTCATAACTTTATTTCATTAAATATTAACTATGGTTATATTAATATTTTTTTTAAAAAAGAAAAATTAAAAAAATTAATCCCAACCACCACCGGCCGAGCCACCATCTCCCTTCCGGCGACACTACCCAGGTTCCTCCGATCGTCGACGACACTACCCAGCCTCCCCTGAGCGCTGGTGACCCTGCGCCAACTCCACCTCGACCACCGCCAAGCCCTAGATTCCCAAATCCCCGCCCACAACCCTCCCTCCCTCTCCTCCTTCTAACCGTCACCGCCACTAGATCGTCGAACTCGGAAACCCCGACCACCCCCAGACCACCGAACCCAAACCACGACCAACCCTAGACCACCAAACCACCTCTCTCTCTCTCTCTCTCTTTCTTCTCCGCCCTCTCCTTCACCCTCTCTCGATCTCTTTATCTTCTTCGATCTCCGCCCAGAAATCAAAACCTCAAACCCTAAACCCACCACCCCTCCTCGAGACCGAGACCAAAACCTACCCACGGCGAGGCGGCGAGAACTGAAGGTTAGAGGAGAGAGAGTTGTGTGGTTAGGGTTCGGGTCTAGGCAGAGGAAAGGATGGAGGGATGGTTCGACGGTTTAGATGGGAGGTGTCGACGTTTCAGATGAGGGGGTTTGGTGGCTCCGGTGAGGGTGGAGGTGGTACTGGTTAGATCTGGTGGGGATACGGGTAGAGGTGGTGGTTGGGTTGGTGGTTTTTCTTTTTAGTTTTTTTTTTTTCTTCTTTCAAAGCTAACCATAGTTAGTTTTTTTTTTTAATTAATTAACTCTTACTAATGTCATAAGTGAGATAAATTTTTTAATTGGAGTCATTTTGTATAATAAAAAAAAGGAGAGGTCATTGTTGGTGCGTAGCAAAATTAAGGGGTCACTGTTAAGGATTTCCCTCTCATTATCTTAATATACCAATAGCAACATGTGCTCCAATTATTCAACCTTTTTTTAACCAACTCTAGTCAACCAAATATTATAAAAGCTGTGTAAATTGTACTTAGAGACTTAGAGTGTACAATTACCCATTTAGGTACAAATGTATTAATGAATTATGTAAACATAAAAGAAGAAAATATATATATATATATATATATATATATATATATATATATATATATATATATATATATATATATATATATATATAATCTACTTCGTTTTCGTATAATATTATGAGCTTCTGACAACCATAAATCATATACTTGTATAAGGTATGATTTAAAATTTAAACATACTTTATACTTCGTATAATTTACTACTCCGTACAATTAGTTAAATCTTCAATTTGATGACATTATATTATTTGAATTTTTTGGACATCTCAATTTAGAATGGGAGGTGTATCTCATTATTATGACATAAAGTTAAGAAGAAGATAGTATAGTGGGCCGCTTTGTTCACGATTATAACGAGGTTTGCCAATTAAAAAAAAAAAAAAAAAAAAAAATTAGTACCACATAAAATAAATCAAAATTTATTATATTTTTTTTCTTAATTTTGGAGTTTTGTAAGAGCTTTTTCTCTCATTGGGTTTGATTTGATAATTTGAATCGCAAGTAGAACGGGCTTTGTCTTTATAAAGTGAGACGACGTGACACCAGTCACACCACCGGCGGGCCCGTTATTAAGAAGAATCTTGTCTCTATTCTTTAAAAGGCCGAGAACATTAGTGGGCCTAACGTTACTCAGATAACTCTTTCTGTTTTCCAACTCACTTTACTCTCTTCATGTCATAATAACAACTATTTAAATAATCATTAATATTTACATAGTATAACTGTGTATTGATAAAAAATATATATATAAATATTGATATTATGAAAATATAAATTAATACAAATACTACTTTAATATTTTATATGATTATATTTGTTCTATATATAAATAATAAACTGCAATCAAAATTTCTGGAGTAGAATCATTTTATACATTTAATGACTTAAATACTTAAATGAGATAAATTGTCTATGGTTCCTGTATCAGCTATCATGACGAGTTTGAAATACGTTAAATATGTGTCATAAAGTTACTTATAAGAGTTTTAACTTTGACAATGAAAATTTTAAATATTTTTCAAGTAAAGAAAGAGAGAGAGAGAGTCGTACATGTAAGACAAGCCCTCCCCATTATGTATTTAATTTCAGAACGATTTGTCAAATTGTTATTCAAAAATAAAGAAATTAATGAAATAGTGTTCACTTAAAAATATTTTTTAAAGTAGGGTCCTTGTAATTTCAGAAAACCCAAGCCTATAATTTTTTATCACTTCATTTTAAAAGTCTAAATAAAAAAAAATTAATAATAATAAATAAATAAATAAACATTTGTACCTGAAGGTTGTTTATCATCTCCATATTCATTAAAAACGGTGCTAAAAAAATTAGTCGTGTTTAGAGATTGAGTTTTTGACTTAGTATGTGTAATACAATATCCAGATTAATATTACTCTGTAGAACTAGATAGTAGGTTTCAAGAACACTATGGTGATTGATAAGTGCCCTTTGATGATTTAAGTTCGACTAAATAATGTATTATGTATCATGTTACATATATGTTATTTGACAAGTTATATCCATATCAAAAATGCTAGAAAATTTTTAAACACGTACATTACTTCGTATTCATAATCCATACTCTGGTTAGTGCTTATTGTATTCATTTTTACTATTAAAATATAGAAGCATTAATGATTAAGACTCAACTACAAGAGGATCAAGACATCGTTAGCATTAAAGATAAAGAATCTGATGGTATCATATTTTTTAGGATTTTATTAGAAAAAAACAAAAAAAAAAAAAACAAAATATCTCTTCAATGATGTTTCTAGCCATTATATTTTAACTCCTAGCTTCGTAATTTCCAAACCTACACGGACACTACTTTAAGAAATATTTTCAAGGAACACTATTTTAGTAATTTATTTATTTTTTATCACCAATTTGGCAATTCATTCTTAATTTCAATTTGAAACATCCAAAGTCTCAATAATTAGAGAGAATATTAGTATTTATTGATGTAAAATATATAGATGTGGACATATTTGTCTTACCATAAAACAACATATCTAGCTAATTATTCCCTTCCTCCCCTCCCTCCCAAAAAAATGTATAATGAATAAAAGATGTTCTTTGACCCTGTTTTTTTGAGCTTCTGAGCAGAGCAAAACGGAACAGAATAAAACAGAGCATATCACATCATCTCAAAAGAACAGGGCCAAATGTTATGTTAAGATAAATTGCACTCAACAGGCAAACCTTTAGGAAACCTATTTTTATCAGTACAATAATTGTAAACCATGTAGTGTCTTTGCACCATTTTCATCCACTTTTTTTCAGAAGAGTTGACTTGTTGATTTTTCCATTCATCTTTTTCTCCATTTGTGTTTGACTTAAGGCAATTTGTTGACTTCGTTGACCGGGCCCACTTACAAGCTGTTATCCTGAAGCCACCATATGAAGCAACAAAAGGGGCTTCTTTCCAATTAGTCTTGACTCTCCCACCCATTGTAGCCCAATCATCTGCATTCCATAAACTTGCATATATCTTCATTGGTTTGCTTATTGGGTATGGTACTCCTATTGATCCCCTATTCTTGAATTCCCTTATGGGTAGTCCATCTATCGAGAATCTGCAACACGTGTTTTCGAAACTGTTACTTCCTTTATTTCACAAGAATTATTTTTTCCAACGACAAATTTCAGACAAAAAATTTATGTATAGATTGTTACAATTAAAAAATAATGAAGGAAGAGTCTATACTTACATGAATAATTATTTTTTCCAACGATAAATTTCACACAGAAAATTTATGCATAGATTGTTACAATTAAAAAATAATACTTACATGATGTTGTGAGGATTCCACGTGATAGAATAAGTGTGAAAATCGGTGGTGGGATCAAACCATAGTTTGAATTGTTGCTCTCTGTTTCCTTTTCCTTGACTAAATACATTGGTGTGAATTGTATAGGGCTCACCCGTTACATTTCCCAAGAACTCAAAATCTATCTCATCATGAACAGGTCCATTTGATGCTAACTGCATGTACAACAATCAATAATCCACAATTAGTTTGTACGAGTCAAGGTACATTATGACATTAGTACTTTTAGTAGGCCAGGTTATTAGTTGTGTAATTTGAACAAAGAGAAGAACCATTATTTAATTAATACCGTTAATCCGAACTTTAATCACATTATTGGTCCTACTCTTCTAGACTAATTCAAGGTAAAACCAAATTTAGGGATCATGTATATTCCTTATTTTCATGATCATAAGAATATGACCTATAAGTTTGCTTTGTTCAACTATGCATGTTATTTACATACATAATTTAAAGAAAGGGAAACGCTAAGGTAAGAAATTTAAGCTTACAAAAAAAAAAGTTGTGACAGTGCCAGCAGAGTTGCGAGGAACAAGTTTGATCTTCATATCAAACTTCCCAAATAGATATCGACTCTTGGATTCGAACCCTGAACCCGAATATTTGTCAAGCGTAAGGGTGAGGAGCTTTCCATCATCAAGCATTCCAACACGGTCATGACCCCATGTAGAATGGAAATTCTTCTTAAAGTTACCAGCATGGGCCACCAAGGGTAGGATCCATAGCATTAGCGTTACGATTAATGCTCTAATACTAGAATTAATACAAAAAAATGCCATAGAGTTAACTAGCTAACCTTAATTAGTGGATAACAATTTTCAGGTGGCTATATTTGTTGATTATTAACTAATGCTTAAAAGGGTATTTATACCCTAAAAAAGCCAGTTAATGAGGAAGGTAAGGGCTTAATTAAGGAAGGTGGAGAGGATGGTTCACATCTTGAGATGTACGTTTACAGTTGGTGCATCAAAATTGCTTGGTTAATGGTGTACTAATAAAGTTTTGGTTTCATTTTGAGTGTATTTGTAGTTTATTTTGGGTATATGGTTGACTTTCTTACTGATAATACCATATAATATGCATCTCAAAATGCATCAATTTATTACACAAATTAGGTTTAGCTAGGGATTAACATTGGGAAATAGAAGAATCTGATATATACCAGCTAATTTAGCTAAACAAAGAAGCAAAGCCATATATGGCCCATGCCCATGCATGCATGCTCAATGAAATTCGATTAACTCCTCAAAGTTACCAATGTACTCCGTATAGTATGATCGATCCTAGCTATGAGGTGCATACATTAAGGGGGGGAAACGGGTTGGTGGATGAGTACGGGGCTAACTTTATAAAGAAAATAGAGTTTTTTTTTTTTTAACCTAATAAATTAGAATATTAATCAACTTAGAATTAAAACTGTCATGAACTTTTGATAGGAAACTTTGAATTGAAACGTACAAAATAAATAGTTAGACGCATTATGACGCAGTAATGTACTCTAACTTAGCAGTACTCCATGTCTCTCTATGTACGTATATTTAATATACGTAAATTATTGGCGTTTAGCAATGGTTACTAATCCCCGTTGTTACTTATATGCAATGGAAAGGTGCGCACGGCTCAACCTATCTATCAAGCAACTTAGCTTCTTGTTACGGCATATATGATCCACCATATACCACCTTCTTACCACAGGCCGGAATATGAGCGAGTGAGGATAATGAGTGGTAGGTGCACACTTGTGTACACTCTTATCTTATATACACAACACGCAAATATGTATGACATACATACATATTGAATTTTTGATAGTACACATGACAAAGATACATGATCTGATTTCTCGTGTTGATAATGCATTTATCATGGGCATTATTTCATATAACATTGACACTTTTGTCATACACTATATATTACCACTATCTAGTTTGTAGTTTAACAGCCACTAATTGATAGAAATAGTCCTAGAAAGTATTCAGCTTGTATTTCAAGTTTTGGTACCCGATAGTTATAACTATAATAAGCTGGCTAGTAATCAATTCAGAAATAGCACATGGAGCATATTACTGCAATTACGTTTAAGATGTTCGTTGTTTTTCCCCTAAATGAAGCCCTCACTAGATAATCCAAGTTCTTAATTTCTTTTATTGCTACAAGTACAGCAAGAACCTTCCCCCTTACCTCCTTGGTTATTATCTAACGTGGAAAAAAAATGTACTTGGTACATAGTACTCGATTACTCGTATAATGATATGTACTCTCGTTTAATACATATTGAACGATATTGATGGTTAAATTTGTGTCTTACGAGACAGAGATATCGTGGCTATGTAACGTACTGACTGCAGCGAGGACTCAAGTGAGTCAAGTCTCACCTCAAAATAGAGAAGAGACGGAGAAATGGGGGTTAACGAAGAATAACAAGGTTTGGGTGTATCAAGTGAGACTTTCTGGTATAGTCAACTACGGAGTAATATTTAGTAATGTTTGCCCTGTATTATTTATGGTCTGTTACAAACCTAGGTGACAGGACATCCTACTTATGTTAACAGCCTAACATACAATTAAAAACTTTTTTTTTAAGTCAAGAAAGATATCTAGATTACAAGCTTACAAAGCTAAAGAAGTCGTATAACTGATGTTCTTATCAAAGCTTTTGAAGATTCCTCCCAATACAAATTAGTATAAAAAACTACCCAAGAATTTTATAATGGGATTGCTTTGTTTACAAATAATGCGAATTATATTCTTGCAAAACCCTCAATCTTAGCTTATCTAGGCTATCTTCTTGTGCATAAAAGAGGATTGATTATTGGCAATCCTGATTAGCAAGGCATGATTGGGCCAGGCCGGCTTAGGGCACACACGACTCAACATGACAAAATCACGACAAGATATGAAAATAGGAAAGGTATGGTACGTTATTGTACTTGTAGGGTTATGCAAGGAGTTCAGATACCACATTATTGCTAGAAGCTTGGAAAAGCACAATAAGACATGACAAAATAAGTGAAATTCGACTAGGCATTTAAGCACCATGGTCTAACACAATTGTCAATGGATACGGACCAAGCGACCTCTCTCTTTGAAAATTGTGGCACAACACGTAGCTATTGAGCTGAGCCTAGACAATATATATATATATATATATATATATTCTGGTTTCAAGTGATCACCGTAAGTTATTATATCTAGTTTCATATTCTGGTTATCCTGCAATATGTAAGGCCATCCTACTAACAGAATGTTGCTGCCATAATCAAGGTAGCTGGAAATAAGAAATATACGGCCACTTCAGAAACAAGAATCATACATTACTTTAGCTGAAAACAAATATGGTATAAGATTGTTAAACAAAAAAAAGAAAAATATGTAATTAAACCAGAGATAAAATGTTGATACACCACTCAAGTAATTCAACATTTCAACTTATACATAAACAAACACAGGTCTATAGGTGTGTATAAGCGTCCAGCCAAATATCCGACCCAACTGGAACCCTCTTCTAAATCTCTAAAACTCTTCAATATACAATTTCTTTAATGGTCAAATCTCGGCACCCTGAATTCTAAATAAAAACACATCAGTTCTGCCATTGAGAAAACCTTCAGCTAACAATTACAGATTTTGTTTTGAAAATTATATCTATCTGCCTAACTCCAACTTATGACATAGTTAGCAGTAATTTTGGGCTTTCAATTAGATGCCAAAATTACATGATCATCCTGTATCTTTACGACTAACAGGTTTCTTGATCTGTCTGCAGCTCAGCCAGCTGCCACAGCGTCAGCCCTTCGGTTATCCAGTAGTTGATGGAACTTGGCACCCGACTTAGCGCTTTTCCCAAACATGTCAGCACCTTCATCTGAGCTTCTACCAACAGAGCCAGAGGCTGAATTATTGACCCTTGATAATAAATTTTCGGTGCTGTCCGATGGGTTACGTTTGGCATCAATAGTAGCCAAGTCATTCTCTTCTCCTTGTGCAGACTGCAAATTTTTTAATTTACCCTGCAAATGCAATGACCAATGACTAAGCAACAATGCAATGACTTGATGGATTGAGGGATGAAGAAGAGTAGTTGATATGATTTAATTTTACCATTAATGCAGCATTTTCAAGACGGAGTTTCTGGGAGTTCTCCACCAGCTGATTGATTTCTGACTTAAGAGCCAAGTTTTCAGCGTTGAGGGATTCAACTCTTCTGGCAAGTTCCTCAGTCTCAGCCTGCAATATAATAAGCAAGGCAATAAGAAAACAAAGTTTATCTCAAGTGATGCTCACGATTGGTTTTATCAAAAACTAGCAACTATAAATATCACATTACCTGTTTCCTCAACCTTGATCTTCTCGCAGATTCTCGATTGGATTGTTTTCTCCTCTCCCGCTTCAACTCCCTCTCGTTCTGTAGAAAAGAAGAACATATATTACAGAGCACATAATTGACAACTCTTGACCCAAAGCATCTGCTCTGATATGCTCACTCCAACAGGTTGATTACTTGGTTGTTGCCCAAAGAGAACTTGGAAAACAAAAAAAGAACTACCAAATTAAAAGGGCAATTACCTGAATGGGTTGTTGTGCCTGTAAGGGCTGTAACCAAGCTTCAGAAGACACAACTCCATTACGAGGAGAAACAGTAGGTGAACTCCCTTTCACACTGACCCCGGGATTCCTCAGCTCCAATGTGGTGGCCACAGCAGGTGAAATAACAGTTCCCACTAATTGTCCTGCTGCTGCGCTTGCAGGAGTGACAGGAACTCCCAGCACCTTATCAGCAGGAGGAAGAACAGCCTTGGTCTCGGTTTTTTCAACTTCAACTGGTAGTACAATATTCAGAGATTGATGTTAGGTTTCAAAACAAAATAGATCATACTTTTATTCCTCTCTTCCTAGACCACTCTTGCACGTCCTAACATACCAACTGATACACTCTTTGACTCTGGTTTGTAAACAAATAAATGCTAAAAAGGTAATGGAATACTTGACTATATCATACCACTAGTCGGGGTTCCTTCACGGCTTCGCTTCTTTTTATTTTTTTGATCATCCTGCATAAGTGTACGAAATCAGAATTCAAGCAATCACAGAAATTCATGCATGTAAACAGCAGGAATAACAACAAGCTAGAATGTGGCTAGGCCCCTTACTTCTTCCGTGTTTCCATCACTTCCATTACTGGAACCCTCAGTCTCAGCACTGTCAATCATCATATATATAAATATTAGTCCAATATGTCCATGTTATAATACCCAAATGAACTCCTGAATTTACATCAATGCAAACAAGAACATTAGCAGTAATGTACCTTTGTGAAAGTTTATTCTCAACATCAGCCTCCGTCTTCTCGGCATTGGCATTCCCAATTGACATTGCAAGACCGTCAAACCCCTTAAATTTTTTTATTAAACTTTTGTCACCATTTTCAGAGGATTTAGCAGGAGTATCCATGCTCAAAGGAGTAGCAACCTGCATCATCCACAAATATTCAAGTTGCTGTCAGAGCCATTTCATTTCGTCACACAGGAATAAGATCTTTGAAACTTAAATTTCCATACCAATGGTTCACCCACAGCAGGGGTCACAACTCCTTGACCATGTGCCTGAGAACCCTACACACAGGAAAAGGCAAGGATACCCTTGTTAAAGCCTTTTTCATCTATGCTAGAGGAGCAACATGAGAATTTGAATATTGGGCCAACCTTCCAGTTACAAAGTACTTGCTAAACCAGAAATGTTATTTTTTCTAAAGGGGGAGGGGACCCTTACAAGAGGGATTGCAGCTGGGTGCGCATAGACTCCTCCTGGTGCATAAATTGCAGCATAAGGTGCTCCATATGGTGGTACCATAGGCTGAAAAATATGAACATTTTGGTCAATAAAAAATACGAAAGTTACAGATAACTGAATTTATCCAAGATGAATAAGATGCATACATATCCTTGTGAAAATTACCTGTGGAGGTCCCCACATATATGGGGGAGGTGGGTGTCCAGGTGCAACAGCTGAGTTGAAATATGGTGGCAAAGCAACTCTGTGGCCATAATATGCCTATAGAATCATCAAACATTATCAATAATTGTTGAACTTTAATATCAATCCACAATCATGAATTATTCAAGATGTGCATGCAGGATATAGTTTAAGAATTGACTTTAACATTCATCCATGAAGCAACTAACCTGCATGGCTGCCCAATCAGGATACATATGAACACTATTCTGTTCCTGTAAAAACACGAGATAGACAAATAAACAAACATGAATCTCAAGTTTCGGTAATTTAAAGAAAGACAAACTGACTGCAACTTTTGCAACACATCAAAAATATTCTTTCTAGTTTATACATCCTTCTATGAATATTTTCAAAACAAGAAATTAAAAAAATAAATAAATAGACAAAAATATACGGTTCATCAGAATATTTATGATCCATGAATTCTCATCTTACAGTTGCAGGTGGAGATGATTTTTCTGGCTTGGAAGACTTCCCATCATCACTGCTTCCCATGATCACTCACGAAAGTCAAATTTCAAGCCTAATATTTGGCACAGCAGCTGATTATCTGGACCAAGTCAATTAATTAGAACTAAAGATGATCCATGAGTGCAAAAATTCCGCAATATAAACATCAGTCACCCCCTCTCTTCGTTCAAAAAATAAAGTAGCTCAAAAGCAAAAATGTTAACAAAGATGTAGATTCAAATCATGACTTGTCAAACATTTTTGTGTGGATAAATCCTTTTAAGACACATGATAGACAAAATCACGTCATTTACTCAGCGCCTCCTCAACGCAAATTAATCACAAGATGAACATACTTCTCTGGTGTTCCATATAAATAGTTTGACTTAAATCCTATTCTTCTAATATATTTAGGCAAAGGGTTAACCAGTTCAATTTACGACTAGAATAAGTTCAGATACGTCAAATTAGGGTGAAAAGAACATCTTCCGAGCTACGATCAAACATCAAACCATAAACTTTTAAATAAAATCCCAAAGCAAAAAGCTTATAATTTCATCATAAATTTTGATTCCCATTCATTGAAAATTCCACTACTGAAAACTCTACAATCATCCAATCAACTTGATGATTTGCATTTCTTGGATTAAAATCTATATACCCCAATTTTCCGTAGCAGGATTAAAATCAATACCAATACCAAGCTTCAAAATTTAGGTACTAAACCTTAAAAAGGAACAATTTTAATCAGTTAATATACAACACATAGAACTTTCCATTATTGGTATTTTCATCATTGAATTTATTTTCCGAATTATATCTCATATCTGTAATAAAGTAACAATCATCCAATTGGAAAAATAAAAATCAAAACTTTACAAAGTAGCCATCTTAAACAGAATCTACCATTAAAATTCCTTTCTGTTTTTTACAATGAAATACAGATCATGATGTCACCATGAATGGGTTAGATCTGCATGCAAACAATTCCTATTATTAAAATCACTATTGATTTAATTCTTGATTTAGCTTAATTAATTAGGATTATATCATACATAATTCCTTTTTTTTTTTTTACCAACAATTAAAAAAAATAATGAAAATAGGATAAAAGCAGAGGGGCAAAATTGTCTATTTAGAAGTAGACCGAACACACAAAAGTAATGGACCCTTGAAAAGCAGGAATGACACGGCAGTTACACCTCCACGTTACAATGACTAAACTACCCTTCTCTTTCCACACCTCATCACTACTTTGTCTTCGTTATTAAACAATTAAAATTTAAAAAAAAAAAAAACACTGCACTACTATGCGCAGGTTGTATCAAAATTCAATTGTAAGATGAACTTAGCTATACCCATAATTCAACTACCTATCAACAACAAATACGACGTCATTTAACTTAAATCACTAAATTATCGAATTCAGAAATAGAAACTTCGAAAAACTCGAATTAAAATTAGAAGCAGAAGAATTTTATTTTTTTATTGGAAAATATAAAATCAATTTAAAAAATAGAAGGAAAAAAAAAAAAAAAAACATACCTTGGAATAGAAATAAAAAATCTAAAATGGTGATGAAGAAGGAGATTGTTTTGTTGAGCGCTTGAAGATTGGCTAAATTGACAGCATTGTGAAATGGATTAAAACGATGAGTTTGGAGGAGAGAGAAAATATAAAGGGAGAGTAGAGAGAGAGAGGAGAAAAGCTGAAGAAGAAAAAATGGGGAAGTTGAGGGGAGAGAGAGAGGGAGATTATGGAGGCGCCAAGCTAACATTCCACGTCATTATACACGTGTTAGTAGGTGTGGGCTCAGTAACGGGCTACTTCCGTATTTTGTTACGCCGTATTCTATGTGTCACTAATCTGTATTCTTTTTTTAAAAAAAATATTTTTTTTAGAGGAAAATTCTGTAGTCACATTTTGTTTACCCTAGTACTGGAATTTGGAATGGAATTGGTTGTAAAACAGACAGCGAATGTGACAATCTCGTGTCTGGTTTACTTAGTAGTGCTGTTTTGTACATGTTTAATTAAACGGATCGGGTTAAATTTTGCTAATTCTGCTCATTGACACTTGTCGAGAAAAAAATCTCGACTTGATTACTAGTTTATAGAATGGGTTGTAACGTTATATCGTGAATTTGTTACCCGTTTTGTTTTTAAAAACTGAGTTGCTCAAATTATTTAATTAACATGTTTATCAAACTTGCTAGAAAAAAAAGGTAACTAATCAAATTGTAACTTGATCGGCCCACTTTATGACTATCTCTACTATGAATTAAAGTTTAAAACTTTTATGGATGAACATGATCGAAACAAACAAATAACAAATTAACAACCCTTTTATAAACCGACTATTATATACTCTGTAAATCTTAACTATACAGAGTATATAATAGTCGATTTATAAAAAGGTTGTTAATTTGTTATTTGATTATATTGTTTCATGTTCATCCATAGTTTTTCAACCTCAGCCCGACTGATATGTAATGGAAGTGTGGAACTATAAGTCATGTCTCATATATTGCGTTATATCAACCTAACTGTAATAAGACGAGTTTAAGAAAAAAAAACTTGATTCAAACTCACTAGTATTATAAGTTCATCAATATTCAAATTCTATTAGATTTTGGATACACTGTACTTGTGACATAAATTAAATGAAAATTATTAAGATTATAAATACGTGCCAAGTATAGGTGTTTAATTCATTTAAATGCTCTCATATCAGAGAGTGTCAGGACGGGTAATGTAATTGTACATCTCACTGTAACTTTTTTTTTTTTTTTTTAACGGGCATCTTATTGTAACTTTGTAAGATGGGACGTTGATGTTAACTTGAATGTTATTCTCACTAATCAATTTCCCCAAAGTTTTTTTAACTTTGATAGAAATGGATCTCATTTAATAATGTTTCCGCTAACCTTCTTTTTAAAAAAAAAAATTAAAGTTGGATAGTTCATTAGCTTGTTCACTTGTAACTTGTTGGCTCTTAAGTCTTAACTCAACTTATTTGAGATTTAATTGGCACTAAACTTTATTAATTTGAGTTTTTTTTTTTTTCTTTTCTTTCTAGACTTGTGAAATAGATGTATACTTATTAGCACTGTCAAAAACCGAACCGAACCGGTGAAACCGAACCGATTCAAACCGAACCGAATGAGAACCGAACCGATTAAAAACCGATTTTTTGAAACCGAAAACCGACCCGAACCGCATTTTAGTAAACCCGAAACCGAACCGATCCGAATAACGTTAAACCGTTTTAGAACCGAACCAAATCTAAACCGAACCGGAAAGGAAACCGAACCGAAAATAAACCGAACCGTTTACAAACCGAAACCGTTTAAACCGTCATAAAAACCGTTATAAACCGAACCGTTTACAAACCGAACCGTTTATAAACCGAACCGCTTATAAACCGAACTGTTTATGAACCGAATTCTTATAAATCGAACCGTTTACAAACTACTTACTACTAAGAGTGGTTATTGGGCGTGTCAGTGTGGGTCGATGCAAATCATTTAAGGGGCGAGTCGGTTGCAGGTCAAGATGAATATTTAGCGGGACAGAAATAATAACCAATAATTCGAGACAAATAAGGAACAACATATCAATATGTAATGTGACTAAAACTATTAATACTTGTTCTATGAAATTAAAACATTTTAACAATGAAGCAACACAATATATATTAAACATCACTAGTTCACTACAATACAACATCACGTCTTCTTAATTAGATGCAATACTTTCATCTATCACTTGTTTACCAATTTCAAGGACGTCTTCTTCAATATCACAATCATAACCACGTAACCAGTTTTGTGTGGTCACCAACGCCTCGACATTCTTAGGCAAAAGCGCACTCCTATACTTGTTTAAAACACGACCACCCATGCTAAAAGAAGACTGTGAGGCTACCGATGTAATAGGAATGGCCAAAACATCCCTAGCCATAACAGCTAATATGGGGTACACAGTAATTTGAGATTCCCAATACTTAAGAACATTGTACTTCTGCCCTTCATAAATTGGTTGCCGAGGAGTACACAAATAAGAATCAATCTCCATCGATGGCCGATTTGATGAGTCATCCTCATCATCATCATCATTATCAACATACTAGAAAAGTTCAAACAAAATGCTTTTATTAAATAATAAAATTAAAACATACAAAATGCTGTCCACAAGTCACAAGTAAAGCTAACTCTACCTTCAACTCCAGAAAAAGTTTGCAACAACATCGACTTAAACTTATCATGCTCAACAATACAATGTTTCAAAATAGTGTTTCTACACACATGATTCACGTTGGGATTCAAATTCGTAAAAACTTCCCTAAGGCCATGATGCTCCACAATACTTAAAGGATAGGAATGCAAAATTATAGCTCTAGCAAGCAATTGTAAATGACGAGTTTGATTAAACGGGAGCTCAACACCACTTTCATTATTTCCAGGATGGTGTGGATTTTTACTCATGCATGTCTTAGTATGAGCTTTACAAGTTGAAGTACCAGCATTACCTGGTGTTTTATATTCATTACCACAAACATTGCATCGAGCATATTTTATCGGAGCAAGACCAACCATCTTATCAAAAAAGGTGTAATACCTCCAAACATCTGATGTTCGTCCACGCTTACTGCCACTAGTGGTATATTGAGTAGAATCTTGATTCTGAACAGTAGAATGCTCATCAAAACCATTAAACTCTTGCTCCATTACTGGAATAATTTATGGCCTTTACTTGGGATAAAATCCTGGATATATGTCAATTTTCATATGTTTCAGTCAATTAAAAAAAATAAAAAATGGATTGTAGATTTATTGATCTTTCAAAACTTTGGATGGATACTAAAATAATAAATCATCTTTGATCGTGATAGCTGACTTGGCTAATTTTGAAAGAGAGAATTTTTTTTTTTTTTTTGACAAAGAAAGAGAGAATTTGATTACATTGGTTAGATCTTGGACAACTACTATGTTTGGTAGTTGAATTTGCACTTTATATAACTTCAAATATTGTGAGGCTTACCACTTTTTGCACTCTTATTATGAGTTCCTTCATATCATCTTATGAATGTATCTATTTATTTACCTATTATTACAAAGTACTCCGTATATTACAAGAGTTGTTCTTTGCTCAGAGTACAAATTAGTTTGCTATGGCTAATAGCCTAATAGCAAACTTTGTTCATACTCTTTAATCTTTATAGAGGAAACAACCCTCTGAGGACTCCTCATTATTGAACATGAATTCGTAAAAAAAGGACTTAACTTTATTACTAGTATTATATTAGTCCCACCATTAAACATTTAAACATGAATTTAACCTTTGTCCGACCCATTCTCCACTTCCGCTCAAGCTAACATAGATTACCTCTATTCAATTTAAGATGATTGATCATGTTTTTCAATGGACCCATTCCTATTACACTAGTCAAAGGTACAATATGATTGATGGAGATGTAGCAATCAACTCACCAGAGGTGGAAAAGGCAATAGAACATGCACAGCCAAACGTACAAATTTGGCACTGAGAGCTTCAAAATCCTTTCAATTGCATACAATAAGTTTGCTTTCAGAGGATGCTGTGAATTTTGTACAATTGGATTGATATACTACAAAAATAGCAACAACAAAAAACAAAAAACAAAATGTCAAGATAACGTCTGGGATAGGAAAGCAGGGGGAAAAGATGAAATTTAATAGATAAAAGGAACAGACATTGGTGTAAACCACTCAAACAGCAAGAATTCAGAAATATATGACCCCCAACCAAGATCCCAAAACAAGACTGCTAACCTCACATAACCATAACCTCACATAACCAAAGCCAGCAGTGGAATTCACATCTGAGTTTAAAATGAATGACCATCTGAATAATAGGGTGGTCTTTCTATTTTACATCTGAATTTTACATTTCAGTAAGTGGTCTTTCGTTCTAGCTAAGAGTTTCCTAATCTATAAGTCTAAATGCAGCAGAAGATTGTTAAAAATAAAATTCTAACAAGGATCAATCTCACATCTTGTATTATTCACAAATACTTCTTCAGATGATTAAACTTGAGGAAATCTTTAACACATTACTACCAATAAGATTCCAGTAACACCACTAATCTCAGCTATTAAACAATTTTAGAATACAGATAATGTATAAGAAATTAATTAGTGAAAAAATACATGTAATTGATTAATACGAAGTATAGTATATCACATAATCATATAGCTGGGATGGTATGGTTGTAAAATCGTATAAATTGCTAAAAAAAAAAAAAAAAAAAAAAACAGAAAAAAAATCGGAAACAATCAAAATCATGAACAATCGGAAAAAAAATCGAGATTAGCTTGAGTAAGTATAAATTTACCTTCAACTTAGCTTGAGAGTAGCTAGAGAGAGATTGAAAGAAGGTGCTGAGCTTGGAGATTGGAAGAAAGAACTGGAAGAAAGAACTGGAAGAAAGAAGCTAAGAACGAAAGAAGAAAGAAAGATGGGAAAAAAAAAAACTTATATATGACGGCTGAGAATCAAGGAAGAGAAGGAAGCTAGGGTTTTTTTCTTATTTTTGGAGGGAAATTCTAACTCAAAATATCTAAATTCTAAATCTAAAATTTGTTTTTCCTTTTGGTTTTTGGAGGGAAATTTCCCACCATTCATATTTTGAAGAAATTGTCAACCAAAAAATAAAATCAATTTTCCACTTTGTAATAATCAAAATTTTTAATTTTTGTTTAACAACATTAAACAAACTTTTATACAATTGATTAATTACATGGTTTCAAAAAAAAACTAATTACATTTCTCGAATCCCGATAAAACGATATACACCTACATAATATCAGTTTTTAATTTTTTATAAATTTTTTTAACACACACATTAAAATATTAAGTTCTTTAGATTATAAAATGTGAATCAGTTAGCGTGTAAATGTCTAGCGTTGCAATTAATAAAAAAATCGAAGACCGTTTAATAATATAATGACGTCATATCTTAGAGAGCTAGTAATATTACGGATTTGTACGTATAAGCAATACACTTGTAATCGTGTAAACTTATAAATGATATAATTGACTAGTAGATTAGTACATAAATACAAATTACTTAATTAGAAATGTGTTATGACTACATGAGTGATTGACTAATATCGTAATATGACTATATAGTATATAAGCAATTGTCAATTTAGCATAGCTGCATAATAGAATAATAGTGTACTAGACTATCCTACTCGGTAATATACTAATACCATTTCAGTATTTGATATGTTAGACTTAAGTTAAAAGTTAGTCTTTCTTATTAACTTGTTAGTCTAATTAAATAATTACTAATTACTAATTAGTGACTTAAGCCTTAGGGGTAAACCAGTAAAGGATATAGAATCAATATTACCTTCTTCTTCATTAATGTGTTCTTTCATTATATTGTATAAATCAAACTACTTTGTAATATCTTCATATATAACTTTATGCAAATATATAATGATAAACGAGCCTTAATTATCAATCTTGTTGACTAATTAAGAATCGAATACCAAATTGCAAATTTCGATGTTACAACAACTCATCAAATCATGATTATGACACTGTTAACTAAATGATCAAATCAGAAGCAGATAATAATCTGATAGTAAAACAATAATACATTAATGCACTAAACTTTTATAATCTACTTCGTAATAAACTAGTAAGATCAGTATGGCTAAACTTGAATCATAACATGATATGTATTTATAAAAATAATGAGAATTTGCATATAATATGATGCCTCAATATGAAGTGATGAAGTCTCGGCTTGATATAAAACTTGTTAACTAGCAAAAAGTTAGAAAGTAGTACAAAATTTTTTGAAATCAAAAACAGATCTAGACTCGAACCGTAATTTAGTAAATCTGAAATAAAATCGATCTAAATAATGTTAAATCATAGAAGAACCAAACCCGTGAACGAACCGAACCAGTTATAACCGAACTAAAATAAAACTACACCAAAAAAGAACCGAACCGTTTCCAACCTGAAACTGTTTGAACCGGTATAATCACCATTTACACCGAACCATTAATAAACCGCAACCCGTTTGCACCAAACCGTTTACTACCGGGACTATTTACAACCCGTACCGTTTACAACCCGAACCGAATTTAAACCGAATTAAAAACCGTTTACACCAAACCGTTAACAAACCGCAACCCGTCTGCATCGAACCGTTTACAACCCGGACTGTTTACATCCCGGACCATTTACAACCCGAACCAAATTTAAACCGGGTTAAAAACCGTTTACACCAAACCGTTAACAAACCGCAACCCGTCTGCACCGAACCGTTTACTACCCGGACCGTTTACAACCCGAACCGAATTTAAACCGGGTTAAAGACCGTTTACACCGAACCGTTAACAAACCGCAACCCGTTTGCACCGAACCATTTACAAACCGAACCGTTTAGAACCCGAACCGAATTTAAACCGTTCAAGAATAAACCGAAACCGAACCGAATCGATAATTATTTAAACCGAACCGAAACCGACCCGTTAGACATTTAAACCGATTTCAAACCGACCCGTTCAAACCGAACCGATTTCAAACCGAACCGAAACCGAACTGTCAAACCGTTTTGACAGTGCTAATACTTATGATGCAAGGAGGATAGAGTATGGATAGCAACCTTATGATCATAGGTACGTAGCCTTTTGCTATTTTGCAAGATCTAATTACTCCGTAGCTTGTAGGCAGTGCTTTTCTAAGGTCGTCGAAAATAGGATAATAGCTTACATGTTTTTTTTTTTTGTTTTTTTTTTATAATTTTTTTTTTATTTATTTTTTTGTTAGAGGTTGGGGTTCTTAAGAACACTTCTAACAAAAATAGGAAAACATGTTGAGGTTATTTTGAAGAAGGACCTTATTAGATTGGAGTCTCTTACGAGTTACTCGTAATTCTTCACGTGTTAACAGGTTAAATAGTTTAGGAGTGGATGTATAAATGTGTTTAAACTTCCTTAGTGGGGATTGAACCTCTAACAATCTTTTTTCAATGAATTTAATTTAGTGTGGAATTGAGTAAGGATTAATTTAATACAAAGTATATTAGTACTTCATAGTATTTTTCAATTTCCTATTACGGCGTACGGTCTATGGACCTTTTTTTTTTTTTACTTGTACGGATATAAACACAAATTCTTATATGTAGGGTTACTTAGTTAGTGTTATAGCTATAGAGGTTACTTAGTCAATGTAGTGAAGGTTACTTATGCAGTATTACATAGATAACTCAATCAGTGTTATAGGGATTAATTCGTTCTTTTACAACCGAATACATGGTACGGCCGGTTGTACACAAAACTTGCTGGAATATAACATACTAAGGAAAAAAATTAAAAAATGAAATGAACTTATGGTGTGGTGTATGGGTTAGATGAGTTGGCGTTATGGTGGGGCAAGGGGTGTCTGGATATATGAGAAGTGGTATTAGTTAATTTGAAACCCACGTTCACCGTACACGTGGTGTCTTCTTACTCGATCTACGCGTCGATCTTCTTGGTTTTTGTGGGAAGGTGGTGATGCTGAGGGGCCAACGCAACAAAGTCCACCCATGCACCCATGTCATGTGGCTTACTTGGATTTTTTTATTTTTATTTTTCCTCTCTTTCTTGGCTAATTAGTTCTTCTCTACTCTTTTTATTTTTTAGAAAGTGATTACTCCTTTCGTCCCATAATATAGTTCCTGTTTGTATTTTTTTACGGTATTTAAAAAATCAGAGGAGAAAGTGGATGAAGTACATTAATAAAAGTGAAAAGTACAATCATAGACAAAAGTTATAGAAAGAAAGGGGAAAAAAGTACAAGACATGTGCAAAATTTAAGGATAATTTAGGAACTACAATGAATAAAGTTAAAAAGTGAAGGTATAACAGTCTTTAAATACTATCCAAAAAAAAGAGGAACAACATTTTGGATGTCCAAAAATAGAAAAACAAGAACTATATTATGGAACGGAGGGAGCAGAAAAGATATCGAATTGAAAGCATAAACGGTATCGTCAGGTACCAACAACACTTTTGTCTTATTGTTGGTGTAAATTTATTTCGATTAATCTATTTGTTGATCTATTACAGGTGTAATATTTATCTTAAGAAAGAGTAAGGGTTAACTCAAGTGGTTATAGCTTTTCTCGGTTTTATGAGATCCTAGGATCGATTCTCATCATCGTCCAAGTGGCTCTTTAAACACTAAAAATAAATATGTCTCTTGAGAGCATGTTAGAATTTGTGTTGCAATTAAATAAAATAAAAAATATAGAAAAAATATAATTTTAATAATGAAGACATTTTAGGACAGAGAAAAGAAAAAAAGAGAAAGAAAAAAAAAAATAAATAAAAGATAAAGAATATGAGGAAAAAGGTTAGATTTAACTAAATTGAAATGGGTCCTTTGACATCCGGGATTGGCCGCTTACCAAACCGGCTTTCCTTGCAATTCATTTGCGTTTTCTTTATTTGTTATGGGTTACAAAGCTAACGGCGCTTGTTGATTCTTGCAAAAGTTTTCTTTCTTTCTTTCACCACTTCCATTTTCAACCCAAAAAAAATCTTCTTTCTACTATTATTTTGTAACTAAAGTTGGCTGAGAGAAAAACTAGAGTGTACGTTGTACTAATTGTACTAGGTTTTTGCCCCTCTTAGCCTCTTAGGCTCCTACCCCCCCCCCCCCCCAAAAAAAAAAAAAAAATTTGTCCTATTGAAGAATATAATGAAAAGTAACAACGTACGTGGTATAAATTTGATGGATCACAGTGATTAGAATTGTATATTAGTCTAAAATTACATCTAAATCAATTGAAAACTTGGTTTGATACAATTCAAATGATGAAGAACAAATGTGATCAATTAAGATCTATAGTTACTTATAGTTTGTGTTAATAATTGTTGATATTCAAATTCATATTGGCAATTCACGAACACGATAAGAAATATTTTTCTTAAAACACATACGAGTAAAATATTATTTGTCCATGAAAGCATTAAGGGGCTGTTTGGTTTAACTTTGTGGAATGGGTTGGAATGGATTTAGAACCATTCCAAGGCTTTATTTGTTTGGTTGGGCTATTTAAGTATGAAATCTCATACTTGGGGGGTTCATACTCCACCTTATTCCCTTGGAATCTCATACCCACCTCCTCCCAAGTATTCATAATCCATACTCTTACTTAAGTATGAGAATTCATTCAATGATTAAACCAAACAACTTTAAATTGGTATGAGATATAAAATCCACACCACCCAAGTATAAGAATCTACACCACATTCTAGCCTAGTGAACCAAACGACCCATAAAACTTCATATTTATTGTCTATTACTTTAGAGACTCAATGTCAAATCATACTCATACCATAACTACAGGACCTTCTTGTTTACTTATGCCACTATCCATACTTGCCTTATACTTTTTAAGCGTTAATTATATTAAACACTAATAAAATTTATTAGATCTAATTAAATTTTTCTTTGAATCATCTTATTTATAGTTCTACAAATAACTAGAACAAAAACTAGAAAGGAATTCTAAAAATGACGCTCTTTGCATTCTATAATTTCAGTTTTTATGGTCAAAATTCAAAAACACTATCAATAAATCCTCATTACTAAATACAAAAAGAAAAAGAAAAAAAAAACAAAAACAAAAAAACAGTGAGATATTGTTGAATATGCCTCTACGGCTCTATGTATAATTTTATATCATCAACATTTTTTCATTTTAGAAATGGTGTGATAAAAAATATTATTGGCCAAAACAAGTCTTAAAATTATATAAAATATAATAGACATTATATTATGAGGCGATATGATATAATATTCAATATAAAAATTGTTAAGGGTATTTAGTCAAGGTTACGGAGTGTCCACCCCTGGGTACCAGATTTTGCAGATTATACTGGATGCCAGATCGGACGGTTGACACGTATCCATAAGTACGTGTAAACAATAAAGAGTGAAGTCGGAAAATCTAGACCGGTGATTGAGCTGAAGATAAAGGTCTGAGAAAATGCCGCGTCATGCGGTCTGTTGTCCCACGTGTAATGTAAATGGTGTGGACCGTGTGGTGACCCACCACCGCATTAAAAAAATAAAAATGCATCATCACCATCATAACACTAATTGGGCTTAGTAATAGGCCCACATCTGACGCATGTTTCAAACTCCTACCAATCACCACTTTCATCGGACGGGAATGCAGCACGCCACGTCTGTCCATTTTTATTGCACTTAATTTTATTTTAGGCCTTTTTGTTTTTTTATTTTTTATTTTTTTAATTTATTTGGTTTTATTTTATTCCTACCAGGATCTTGCTAACAAGCGTCCTGAGAC